TCTTTCTGCCCAGATCACAGCTTCTACACACCCAAGCAGTCTTTTCATTTCTCAGCAGCCGTGAACTTTACATGGTCAATCATTTCTCTGCTTGAACGATTGTTCCTTTCTGCCCAGATCACAGCTTCTACAACCCTGGGTGAGGCTGAATCCCTTCTCACCTTACAGTCAAAATTTCTCCCCTTATATAGTGAAACAGTATCTCTAAACCTGCTCATCAACCAAGTCTTTACTTTTTACCAACATTGATTAAAAATTTGAGAGACACCAACCAATCAAACTACAGACATTTTCAATTCAAATTTGACTGGTTTTTGACAACAATAAATCCAAGCCCATCCTGTAAAATTCAGCAATGGAAATGTTAAATTGATTGGCTTCCTTTTGGCAGCTTTTTATAACATCAATTTGGAACTTTTCTTTTTCAAATCTTTATACATCAATTTTCATTCATGTGTAGTGAATGCCAAATAATAATAACTCCCTTCACCCACTCCCTTCAAATTCAGAGAAACTGAGAAAGAAGCAAAGGAATTTGCAAGCCTATGTGAAATTGATTTTGGACCAATGTAAACCTTGCCTTTACAGAAATTAACTGGTCAGCCAAGAAAGAATTAAATTTTTGAAATTCTTTTTGGTATAAAATAGGAGAAAAATTAAATTAATGAGAGAAGAGTATCTGAAGTCAAGTGAAAAGTTTCGTTTCTGTTCATCACAACCAGCATTGACATTCTTGACAGTGTAAAACTATTTGCCAATTATATTATTGTCATCTAACCACCATGTGACACTTCAAAGAATTTTCTCTCAAAAATCCAAGAAATTTAAGTATTTCAAACTATCTCTCTGTGTCTACTTTTGAATGTATGCAACCATATATCCATTTTGTGAGCAATGAACTCTCTTATTTTTATCTTAAACATTTTTTAATATTATTTTTTGTTAGATCATTTAATCTGTTGTACAAACATTTCCCCCTTCCTGACAATATGTTAAAACTACAGACTTTAAAAATTCTGATTTAATTTCCTAAAATGAACTACTGACACTACTTCAATCATGTAAGTTTGTGAATAAATTCCTTATCTTGTTTTGTTAAAATTACCCATGTATTTCCTCAACATTATCATCCTTCATTAATCTTCTTGGCATGGGTAAATCAACTATTCATTTTCACCTTAAGCTCCACACCACTATACATGTTTTCTTATGGAAACCATGTGGCTTCATTTTGGCGGTTTCATTTTGGCACTTTTGTAGTAACACACTAAATTTTTTATATAATGGAATATGCGTACACCTGTGTTCCTCCTTCACTGGAATATGATTGGCTAGTGTCCGTCATAAATACCGATGGACGTGTAGATGAGTCAGAGCCTTAGTCTGAGAACTAAGTCTATAACGACGCCCATTGGACTACGCCATTGATCTACACTTCTTACCTGCGACTACAACGCATACCAGTCGATTACTGCTACCGTATTCTACTTGGTTATAGTAGTCAAAACCACTTAGCTACTTTGTTCAAATATATCCCTTATCTTATATCTATCTTTGTGGAGTTTTTAAACATTTAAATTACTATCAAACGTTAAAATCTGTTTTTATCTAAATTGCTAAAGCTATACCACCCCTCTTCTTCCTCTAAAAACCCTACATACATCTCTTATTCTCATTTTTTACTTTTTTCTCCTTTTCCTTTTCTCATATCATTTCCATTGAGTTGACCGAATAAATAGGTCAATGTCTGATGCTTACACCCACCTTCCTCAATATTAAATATTATAATAAAAAGAAGTATAAAAATAAATTTTAAAACTCTCCCTTCCCTCTCTAAACTCGACCATGTCTCTCATACCATCCCTCACCACCCTCTATGTCAACTTATATAAGCTTAATACTGCCCGTCAAAAGTGTAAATTTTAAATTCATTTTTTATTTCACCTTTTAAAAGTGAAGTCTGAAGATCCAGAGAAAAATAAAATTCTCTGGTGAAATAAATTATGACAAATGGAGCCTTAAAGTGGTCTGTTTTTCTTTAAATATATATATATATATAATTTATTTATTTATTTATTCAAAAATTATTTTTTAAATGGATACTCATATTTGAGTAGATGCTCTGTTTTTATTTATTTATTTAACAGTATATTTATCTATTTACATCTACCAACCTGAATATTTGAGAAATCTTCTTAGAAAAATGTATCCTCTGGCAGGATTCGAACCTGCGTCTCCTAGGGGAAACCGTGATTAGATCTGACATGCCTTAAAACAACTCGGCCACATAGGACCTCCTGATCAAACAAAGCCCGAATAGTGCTTTTGAACACATATCTTCCTGATTCTCAAAATATACATATCTGCTCTGTTTTGTATCCTAATGTAAACAAAGACAACTTTTTAGGAAATGGATTAAATCCAACAGATTTTTAATTTATTTGTTTAAATGTTATTTTTTAAATGGATACTCATATTTTAGTAGTTGCTCTGTTTTTATTTATTTATTAAACTGTATATTTATCTATTTACATCTACCAACTTGAATATTTGAGCAATCTTGTTAGAAAAATATGCGTTCTCTGACAGGATTCAAACCTGCATCCCCTAGGGGAAACCATCATTAGATCTGACGTGGCTTAGGCCAACTTGACTACAGATGAGCACCTGATCAAATAGGTGACACAGGTTCAAATTCTGCCAGAGGACGCATATTTTACTAACGAGGTTTCTTGAATATTCAGGCTGGCAGATGTAAGTAATACAATGCACCCTGCCCCTCAGGACCGCATTGGACAAAATTTGTTTAACAAACAAATTTAGTTCAATGAAGTTCCAAAGGATGAAACACGTCATATGATTTTGTTTATGTTTTATGAGCCAAAAACAAAGCTCTATGTTCCACCCAAAGACAAGAACACAGCTGAAGTGGGAAAACCGATACAACACTTAGATCTAAGCCCAAAGGCCAAAAAGACTCTTGAATCCTAGGTAAAAAAGTATATGGATATTCTCATCCTAGATAGATGTGCTGATCCATACATCAATCCAATCTGTTCCTTTTTTATAGAGGTACTATACTGAAAAATAAACTTTATGTAGTGTCAACTCAACACTTCTATGCTTTAGCATAAGATAAGAAATTTACTGAGAATTTAAGTTTCTCAAATATATCATTATCAAAACATATATTTTAGCCTAAGGTCACCAACAAATTTGGACATTAATTTGCATTTAATTTTTTCCTATGACTATTGTTTAGTCATAGTCGTTTTGTAAGAAAAATAGAAATTTAGAATCTAAGGGAGACAACTGCGAGTGACTAAATTAAATCGGTTTCCATGTCAACAGTATTTTCTGACCCTCTCAGTCAACAAAAACTTCTAAAATAATAAAAAAATATATCGAAAAGCGTATTTGAATTTAAAAATAAGATTTCAGTTACAACGTAATTATAGAAAATAATTTTGGATCTTTATATGTCTTTGTATTCTAGTTAAAATGATTTAAAAAAAAAACATTGAAACGTGTTAATTTTGCTCTGCTGCTAAAATTTTTGAAGTTTATAATTAAAAGTTTCGTACTTTTTACATGGTGCATAAATAAATATTTTTTGACAAAAACGTGAATACAATCTAGTGTTTATAAATATATATAACGAGTAGATTAAAACATAAACAATATTTATTTAAAAAAAGAAACAAACAAATAATAATTCGAAACTTTTAAGCAGTATCTAGCTCTACAAAAAAGAATTATGGGATCGCTGTTTGGATGAACAGCGGGAAGGAAGAAGAGCGATGGATTCGTTAGTATAAAGGAAAATATTTTTGTGTTTTGATTTCGCTACAATTTATTCCGAACTGGTCAAGATGGAGCATTCTCGTTCGAAATGGAATCCATATCCGACACAACAAATTTTATCACCATTATGAAAATAGAAAATACATTAAAAAAAAAAATCTCTTAAAAATTGGAGTTAATCAACATTTTAAAAACATTCAAAAATGGCTAACGTTGTTAATTTTTAGTTGTTGGTTAAATTTTAATAACGTTTATGCTAAATTTTAAGACTATGTTGTAGCTGAGTGAGAATAATGGATAAAAAATATCAGGTAGTTTTTCTCATCGATAAATCGCTGGAACGCGCTAAAAACTTTTTAAATCATCGACAAGATCGGCTTGCTCAGTGTGATAACAATCCTGAAGGGGAAAAACAATCTCCTTTAAATAACTGTTCTTCTCACCTTTTTACTTCTTTATGCGATTGTGAGACTGCTGAAGATAGCGATCAAGTAAGATCTCGTATCTGGAAATCTATTTCTCTCTCAGCGCTTCGCATCCTTTGTTACCTCTTTACAAAAAATCTCCCTGGTAATTCCAATAAAAAAAATGATGAGTCCACGAAAAATCTTTCTGCTTTCTCCCTGAATAATGACGATTATGACAATAACAATGAAGAAAACGTCTGTAACAAGCAAACGGCGACCAACTTAGAAAATAAAATCGAATACCTGAAAAAGAGACAGTCTTCTTTGCAATGGGGTTACAAATTTTTCACTTCAAATAAACTTCCAGGTAAGACGGACCATCACCAATTGAAGGACTTTAAACTTAGATACTTTGAAGAGTTTGAAAAAGAGCTGAAAAAACAGTTTGAAGAATTAAATGATGACCCTGTAAACACCAAAACAAATCCGTCAAGAAAAGACGGCCGGTCGTCCCCAACCGCCACCGAGCGTCGGAAATCAAATGGTCCGAGTCCTTCGGAATGTCTAAAGAGGACACTCTCTCATGTACTCTACGATTTCAACTGGGAAAATCCTGATATTACATCACCAATTATCAGTCGAAAGTCTTCATTGTCAAAAAAGAAGCGATCTTCTAATTCTGGACATCGTGGTAGCGATTGTTCTATTTCCTCAGGGCCTCACAATTTGGTGTTTCTCTTTCAGACATGTCCCTCTTCGAAATTGGAACTTCGTCATTTTGCCGGAAAAATGGTCGTCGATTCGGAAGTTTTACTCGATTCTTTCATGCCACCATCTCTTTTTAAAGAATTTGTTGTCAACAGGAATCTTTCTCTTTATTGGATCGATCATCAAATTCACGATGACATCTTTCTTCATCATGCAAATGTAAAAGTTTATTTGCTTTTTTTTGTTTGTTTTTGTAAAAAGCTTTTTTATACTGATTTAAAAATAATCAACATAAAAGGTGCGAAATCTTTGAGTCATGTCCACAAAAAAAAATGGAATAACTTTTTTTTTTTTGTATAAAATGTTGAATTTCATGCCTTCAGCTAAAATTAATAAATGTTTTTTTTTTCTCTCGAGATTCGCAAAAAGGAAAAACCTATGTTCAATTCTAGGTTAATTTTTATTCGTAAAATTCAAATTTACTGAAATTATTTTGAATTATAATGAAGAATGCCCTGAAAAAGTAAAATTGAATTATTTACAAAAAAAAATAAAGTTTTAATTTCCAAAATCTTTTTTTTGTATTAGTAAGGAAACAAACCATTGTAGATTTAAAATTTAAATTTATTGGTGAGCTGTTTTTTGCAAGTCAGTCAGCGTTTGTTTTGTAGTGTTTATCCTTTATTCTTTTTTTTTTTTTTTTAAACTATCTTTTAGAAACTTTGGAGTTTAAAAGCCTTGTCAGATGATTGTTTGACAAGGATAATTTATTTACCCAACTTGTTTGATATGTTTTGTTTGAAAGACTCGAATTACTCACAACACAACAAATCTGTGATAATTTGTCTTCTTAATTTAAGTCCATGATTGACATTGTCTCTTAAGAAAAATAAATAAATAACTTGGTTATGATTTTTACAGACTCCATTGTTATGCCATATCCCCTCAAAACCTAGGCGATCATGGCTCTCCACGGCTTCCTTTTCTTTATGTGACTTGCCATGACTTCTCTAGAGAAAGATAGTAGGAGTTTCCCATTAACGGTTTGGAATTCAGTTTCCTTCTTAGGTTGGCTGCCACCCAAGGCGCCACCTTGCTATTTACCAGGGGTAGAGAGAGAGAGAGAGAGAGGGGGAGGAATGTTTTTCTAAGGAAAAAAAATTATGAAACAAAATAGGCTTGAACTTTTGTCTTTCTTGCTGATTCCACTTTCTGCACTAATAACCTTTATTCTACCAGCACATCCTGTTTTATTTATTTGTAAAATTCAGAGCTGTTTTTTGTGTGGAGGCTAAATGACAACATTTTGGTTTTGGAGAACTCAAATTTAGTTTTAACGGTTATTGACTTGGAGTGAGGAGTTGTGCAATTTCATCCATCCTGATATAGTTTCATCATTTATTTTAAATGAAGTTTACAAATAAAGAATTACAAGAAGTATTAATGTTAAATATTGTAACATGTGTGCAAGAGCCCATTTTTGTACAGTACCTAAGTTTTTTTCACATTAGCAAATTTAAGTAAAAAAAATAGTACAGATCATTAAAGCGATCTCTAATACTTTTTATTTTTCTGCTTTATCTCTATGAATTTTATTCTTAAAGCAAGGGATTTAAAAAAAAAATAGTTGTCAACTTCATTACTTTCATGCATATATGAAATTATTCTAAATTGACTGGAAGGTTTGGTTTTTGTTTTTTTTTTTTCTGATTTTAGCCATCTGTCAATACAACGTAAATCTCTTTATTAAAAAATCTTTCAAAAATAAAATATACTTTTCTGAAACTTTATTTGAGGAATATTAGCTGATTTAAAGTTTAATTAATCTGACCTGAAACAAACAGTACTTAATTTTAACTTAGATATTGCAGAAATGCATTTTCTAACAGTGAGGTAAATGTTTATTTAAGGTGTTGACAGCTTGATTGACAACCAGAAGTTTATCTAATTTTTTTTCTATGGAGGGGAGGACATATCTGTAAAAATTACTCGAGGAATGACCACTTTTTTTTTTTTTTTTTTTTACATAATTTTTAACTACTCAATAATCTTAAAAATTTAGGAAAATATTGTCTATAATTTAATGTTTTATTGAATTCTAGGTACTGTTACTACAGTTAACATAGTTACAGTTTCTAATAATATTGTGTATGGACATCCATATTTACAAAAATCAGCACATTTATGCACATACAAAAAATTCAAAATTCTTTTTAGAGTATTGGGGATCACTGAAGTGTTGTAAACTTTTCCATTTATGATTAGTAAATATAGTTTTTACTTAATAACAATATCACCTAACTGGTACAAATTAATACAGAATTTCAAAAATTTTATAAATTATTCTAATTAAAATTAAAAAACAAATGGAACCAATTCTTGTAAAAGTTCATTATTCTTTGAAAAAACAAATTTTCTTAATATATCTTATTCATAAAAGGAATTAAAAGCTTTTCTTCTAAACAATGTCTTAGTTTTATTACATTTTTTATTTTACAATTCAGAACAGATATTTGATAATGGGGTAGGGGGTCTTGTTTTGCAAAAAAAAAAAAAAAATTGATGATTTAAATTATCCAAGGAGTTCTATGTATAGCTAATATAAACATTAAGCAGTACAAAAATTAATTTCTCTAAATTTTATAAAATTAAATAAGTGTTTTTTACCAAATTTTTTTTAAAAAGCATTTCTGAAATAATTCATTTGTGAATAAGTTCTGAAAATTTAATTAAAATACAATTGTTTGATTTTTGCAAGAATTTCTAAATCAATATGTTTTTCACCACAAAAGACACTGGGATTTCCTATATTAATCATTGGTCACTGGTTGATGCAAATTTTTAACCAAAATTTAAAATGTTCTAAAAAGGATCAAAAAATATATTTTAGAGTCTGTCTATATTTCTGAGATGAGGTATTATGTACATTATTTACATTATTCGGACTATTGTCCTCATCTTTGTCGCCATATAATTTAATAATCAAAAAAATCTTTTGGTTTTTCCTCTTAAAGATTTTAGCAATAAAGCTTTTATCAAGTTTGGGGAATTTTTTCATCATGCATGCTCATATTTTAGCAAATATTTGGAGGTACCTACATAAATAGAATGTACTCAAAGCAAAATGAAAACTCTCTCACCTTGTTAAAAGAAAAATAACTTTGTCCACTTATCGTTTATTTTTATACACAGATATGAAAGAAACATTCTATTTTATATCAATTTAATGTCTTGGATAATTGTCTTTTTGACTACATGATCATGTCTTTCTGTTGCTATAAAGCTACTTCAGTTGTGTTATAAAATTAAAAGAATCTATAACGCATGTGTAATTCTACAAAAATAATTAATGATTGAAATTTCTACTTTTTTTTTTCTATTGTTTTTTATACTGACTAATTATATGTTGAATAGATTTAACTGGAGTAACATGCAAATGTTTTTCTTTTCTTTTTTTTTTCAGGTCTCTGACTATGAAAATGAATCATTTAGAATTGTGAATGAAGCATTAGCCAAACTTGGTGGAACTCTTATCCCATTGGACAGCTTGACTGTAGCAGGTAGCCTGCACTGGTCATCTATCTATTATAACACCAAATGGGCCAATCATTTGTTTCTTGATGTCAACAGCCCTCAGCAGCTGTCTCACTTTGGGAATTTTTTACAGAAGAAATCAGATGTTGATGATGACTTCCCCTCTTTACCTTCCAACAACAAAGCAGTTTCAAAAGACCAAAACAAAAGATCCAAACATCAGATTAAAGGTCGAGGCTTATTGCCTGTAACTTCAGTTTTGGACCATTTCATTAAAGGACCTTGCACTACTGCCTCTGCGTTAATAAAAGATGGTGGCAACCTCACTAGGCAGCCTCATATTGAAGCTACTTTAGGATTTCATCAAAGTAAGTGGATGTTTTTGCTTAATTTTTTTCGAAGGTCTATATATTTATTACTTAAATTCACATTGTGTATTAAATATATTTTAAAATCCCTGAAATATGTCATTGTAACATTTGTTAGTATTGTCTGCAAAGAATGCAAAACTAAATCTTTCTTACATAAAATTACTGTTTGTTTACTACTGCACTTTACCAAATTAACATTTCTTGTTTTACATCTGTCTATATTTCTGAGATGAGGTATTGTACCAATTTACACTATTTAGACTATTGTCCTCATCTTTGTTGTCATATTCACAACATTTCAGCCGTTGTACATTCCGACTTTCTTCATGTGATATATGTTAGAATTTCGAACTGAACCCTTTATTTTGTCCACTGGTGTAGATTGTTCTAGTTCCATCTGCTATGCCTTTTCTGGATATCTCAGTTTCACATGGCCCAGTGGATAGAAACATTGCTTGAAGTAATCCAGTGACTTGAGCCAAAGAGTTACTAAAAGTGAAATAACTGAAATGTCCAGAAAAGGCATGGTGCGTGGAACTAGAACAATCTACCCCAGTGGATGAAATAAAGGCTTTGGTTTGAAATTCCAACATATATCACCTGAAGAAGGCCGGAGTGTACAATGGCTGAAACGTGAATATGACAAAAAAAGATGAGAACAGTTGTCCAAACAATGTAAATAGTCTGTTGTTTTGTGGATTTCAACCATTCAATCTTCTCGTTAGGATGCTAGGGACTTTATCTCTCACCTCATAAGTCGGGTATTTTTATAATTTCCTGTCCTACACCTATCTTTTATGCATATATCTTAAGTTCATCTGCTGGTTTGATTTCCTGTTTTATGTTTGTGTAGTCGCTGATATCTTTGAGGCCCAATTCTGCACTTAGTGGCCATGAGGTCAACCCTCTGATTCACCAAATTCCATATAGAGCTAACTTTGGAATTTCTTGTAAATAGGGATTGTGTTGTGTGATAGTACCTCAGGCTTGAATTTATTGATTTTTATATATATATATATATATATATATATATATATATATATATATATATATAATCTGCATAATTTCAGATCAAAGTTTTTATAATAAATTCATAATAAATAGTAATGAAAAAATTTGTGCTAAACAAATATTTTAACTTGTGAAAAACTAAGACACTTTATGACATGTTTAAAAATTTATGAAGTTATAAATTTACAATTGTCAGATCTTCCTGAATTTTGTTGTGTTCTTCATTTGCATTCATGACAGTTGTTTCTATGGGGCTTTTGATGCGAGTATAACTTTCTTTTTGATAATTTCATTTTGTAATGTGCATGGTCATTGAAACAAGGGTTTTGCTCAATGAATTTGAGTAGTGTTTCAATAGACTTCTCTGCTTTTTCTCATGATACTGTTTCATCATCATTTTGAATGTCTAATATAGACTCACTATTACTACAACTATCACTATTAACACTATCTTGAATATTGTCTTTGTTATGAGTATCATCTTCTATTCCTGCTTCTCAACCAACCCATGCTGCAATATCATCTGCATCAAGAGATTGAAGATTTTTGTGTTCAGTAGGAAGCTGGCAAGTTTCAATAATTTTCTGCACCTCTGGCTCTTTTTTTAAACAATTTGTTTCACTTTTGTTAACCTTACTTTCTGCAACACTAACTCTACTTCGGTACAGGTTTCCCCATGCTCTTCTTAAAGTGTCAACTTTCACCTCATTCCACAATTGAACGAGTAAAAACATGATACCTTTTGTTGGTAAAACTTTTCTGAAAATTTTGTAGACTAACATTGCAGTTTATCAGTTTCATCATGAAATTATTTTTCTAGAACCATTTCATATTCCAGATAACACTTTGATCCATTGATTGGATCAATGATGTAATGTTTGGCAGTAAATAGCACACAAAAACATTTCCACAAGGTGACACTAATTTATTTTCATGTGGATGAAGTAAGCATCTTGAATTTTGTTTGCTTAATTCAAGAAAGTGGGTTTTTACAGATGGGACAAACTCCTGAAAGAACAAATCGGTAAACAGATACTGATTCATCCATGAAATATTTGAGGATTTGTATGTGACTGGTAATTGCACAATTCCTTTCAATGAAAGGAGAAACTTAGATTTTCCAATAACTAAAAATTTAAGTTTGTGGCTACCTGACACATTAGCACATACCAGTACTGTCAATCTTTCTTTATTTAGTTTATAACCTGTTGTTTTTCATCTGTCCACACCAACTAAAGTTATTGTTGTCAAACATTTCCAATAGATACCACTTTCATCAGTATTGTAGATTTCATCTGGGGTTAAAACATAATCCTTCATAATTTTGAAGTTTTTACTATATGTGGAAGTTGAGTGCTGTTCACCTGAAATTTTTAATTGCCGTATTCTATGTCGAGTCTTGAAACTTCTAAAGCCAACCTTCACTAAATTCCATGTTTTTTTTTTTTTTTTTTTTTTTTTTTTTTTTTCATGTTCTTTTCAGCATAAAGAGCCTTTGCTTTGGCAATTATCTTCGGACCTGATATTGCCAAACCTTCTAATTGTTTTGAGGAAAACCACTCGTATAGAGTTTGGTCAGATTGACATTCTTTTGGTGCATGAAAAATTTTTTGTAAAGTCTTTCTCCTTTTTACACAGGACAAAGCAGTTTGCAAAATTTTCTCTCTCTGGTTTTTTTATATAGAAAAGTGTGCTTTTCCAAGATTATATTTCATTAGAATCAAGTTATTTATTCCTTTATCAATATTTTCAAGAATTTCACGTTTTTGCACAAAAGTCAAGGTAATTCTCTTCCTTTTTGAACTTCGTGACATTATTATGGGCAAGAAATATTTTATTCAAAAACAATCTGTGAAGGAAGTTTAAAAAAAAAAAAAAAAAAGTAAGGATATACTCCACTAAACCCAACATCTGAGATGTTTAGTATTGAAGATGTTCAAATTCAAGTAAGTCTAATTTGAGGGAGTCTAGATTATGCTATTTTCAGATTTGGGGACTTCTGTTGTATTTTAAATTTACTTGCATTTTAGTGAAATTGAAGAACTTGATTGTTTATTTTTTTATATGTTTATTTTTCAGCTAATTAAGGATAATTAAAGATACTGAAATTAGAAAGATTTGTTTTATTATAATTCTTTTTTTTTTAATAAGTAAACTTGTTTATTTTAGATGAGACGCAACCTGAGTTATGTCCTCTTATGTTAGTGCCTACTAATTCCTCTGGTACAGGGACTATTGAGTAAGTAAATGTTGTCTTTACTTATCACAAGATTTTTTTTTCTGTCATGGAAAAGGATAAACTTTAGAAAATAATCTTATTTTATTAATGTCATTTGATTTAGAATTATAAATGTTGGATTAAAAAACATGTTCCTCCTCTTCTATTTGCAGGAAATTCTTTAGCTGTTCACAGCTTTCCAGTTCTGGAGCTGACGTGCATGTATCTATGACTGACAAGCATAAACAGTCAAAAGGTGACTCACAGCCCAATGTTCAGTTTATCCTCTCATCCGAACCTCAGTCACAAAGTTCATCTCTTATGCTCTCTTCACAACAATCATCAATATGCCTTCAACTTGAAGTGTACTCTTATCTCAGACGTAGTGATGTTTGCAGTACATCTGACTATGCCTTCTTTTGTACTGTTTGTATTCAACGTCTCTCTAAATTCACTGCAAACAAAAAGTCTGACAATCCCAAATCATCTACTTTTAACTCCTATGCAAAATTCCAGAGTTTACTACTTCGACTCACAGAAGCTGACCAAAATTTGGTGAGTAATATCAACATTTCTCAAGAGAGATCAAATCATTCAAAAAACAACTCTTGGTAAAGTAATGACTCTTCCCAAAATTTTACATAATGAAGTGACTTGTTTACAATTTGTTAAAAGGTTAACTCTACACATAATTCCACAAATGTTGTGGTATTATTTTTTTCTTGTTTATAAGTTGTTTTTTGATTGATGAAAACATTTATAGACACCTACACCAGCATTATTTTTTTAGAAAAATATCATCATATTTCCAACATATGCCTCTTTTCTTTTCTGGGTTGTGATATTCTATAAAGACACTGAAATTAATCCGAAAGTGCTCTTTATGAAATGTAAAGCAGAACCAGTAGATTTCTACTGCTGCTTGACCAGTCTATAATCAAAACTGAAAATAGGTGTAAAACTGACACTTTTTACACTCTTTTGACTTCTTAAATGGTTTTGTGCTAATCCAAAATCTTACTGGGTTTATGAAATTTCTGTTATGGTAGCTTACCATTTAATCGTTATGTAAGAGTTTATCATAGGCAAACTGAAAAACAAACAGCATTATTATTAGTTTTTTCTGCAATTTTTTTTTGTTTTCCTCTATACATTTCATTCATCTCTCCTTTAATCCTCATCATGAAAAATATTTGACCTGAATTTATACATGTGTAGGTTGGGGAGGTACATGTCATGACTATATAATTGAATTTTAATTTATACCTTTTGTGGTTTATAAAGAAAAAGAAAATGAATTTCATCTCTTTCAATTCTTTTTGTTATTTCAGGTCTTAACTGTAAAATTAGATGGCCAGTCAACACCATTTCTTGCTGTTTTACAACCTTTGTCAGTCAGCCTTGGTTTGATAGTCTTCTTTCCCATGGGACTTAGCTTGAATCTTGAAAATCACTTAGTTTGTAAATCTAACCATAATGTCACTAAAGAAACCACTCCAGCCCATACATCCCAACTGGAGGCAGATGATCTTGATTACATCACTCAACATTTTGCTAAAAAACTCTGGCACCCAAAATACATTCCTCAGTCATTCGAGATGCACAGATCTGGTATGTATGGGTTTTAACTTGTTTCACTGTTACATAATATAATAATTGTAATATATATATATATATGTGTGTGTGTGTGTAATATTTAAAGACAGGACCAATAATAGAATGCTTTTCATTTTTTGAATGTGTTTTATTCAACTCTCTTCAACTTTCAGATATTTTATACAGAATAGCAGTGAATCATATAACCTTCCAACAGTGGTACCATCAACATTATTATTATTTATTCTATACATTGCTTGTTGTATTTTAATTTTCCAATGGCAACATTGTTTCTTTTTCCAATCTTTATTTCATTCTTCTCTTAATTTAAACTGCTTACAAAGATAAAACTAAGAAAAATAGTTTTCAATTATTTTTGGCCTTATTTTCTTTTTGTCATAATTTGTAGTTTTTCTTTGAATCAAATTAGTCTTTCAAGTGCAACTTTCTTAGTACTTGATATTAAATTAAAAAAAAAAAATTACATTCATGTCATTTGATATTAATGAATTGTCTGTGCTGGTTTGAAACCATCTTCAGGTTGGTTTCAGATTCATAGTTGTCCTCTTAGACTGGTTGCCCTCTCAAAGCTAAAGACCTCAGTCTGCTCTATTATTTACAGGGGTTTGAATTCAGAGTTTGTTTTTTTTGTTTTTTTCTCTCTTCAACTGGCTGCCACCAAAGGCAAGAGCTGCCAATCCATCCTGTTATTTCACCCAGTAGTAGGGAAAGATAAATTTGTGCCTTTTCCCAGGGAATTCTAGAATTCTACCCAAAGATACTAAATAAACAACCAGCTACAAAATGCAATGAAAACTGAATTACATCCCCACCCTTATATAATAATGATTTTTACTGCAAAATAGACACAAAATAAAAACAAATCTTAAAACTACACGATTTGGTGCAAAATGACCTATGGGTTTGGTGTGCTGGTAAAATAACCTATCTAAACCATACCTTTTCCCAGGGAATTAGTGTGAAGTGAATGATACAAACTTTGTCAGAATTTGAACTCAGCACACTGATAGCCATTACAATACCTGTGCGTCCAATCAATACCTTTGATTAATAAAAGTTTGTACTTTGTTTAAAATTTTAAATTTTAAATTTTATAACTGCCAATTCATTGCCTATTATCAAATGCACTCTACTTGTAGAAATCTAGGCAGCATCATTTTAAATTGGAGAAGTGGCTTTGGAATAAAATTTAGCTTTATATTTTTTCTGCATTTATTCTTTTCTGTGAAAAACATCAGAAGATTCTTTCTTACTTTCTTTTTAACATTTTCATATTTTCTTAACAAAAAATCTTTTTTTTTTTTCATGTTCGTTCGAATTTTATCCATGTATTAAGTCAATTTTGCAAGTACACTTAAAATAATATTTTCTTTTTTTAATAACTTTTAACAAAAGCATTCTTTATTTTATTCTATATAAATTACATTGATGCATGTCTTTTTTTTTTTTTTTTTTTTTTTAATTTTCAACTGTCAATTTCTTCCCCAGACATTAATGTCAGAAACGAAGTGTCAAAACTCAACGTATTTGATTCGGCTGTTTTAAACAAATGGAATTTACCTTGTTGTAACAATCCTGAAATGGCTAAAATGTCAATGAGTTTTGATAAAAATATTGCCACTGATCGTGAGGCATGTGTAACACGAGAAACAAACTTGTTCAAGCAGCTAAAGACCTTCTATCGCCAAGCAGACAGCCCATCTCAGTTGGTGAACAAGAAGCAGCAACAGGAAGAAGAGAAAAAATTAGCTGAAAACATGTCTGAAGAAACTGCCTGCCAGAATGCAGGAGGAGAACCAAAACCACGAATTCTGCAGAAACTACGGAGTTTCACCCTGGGGCCAACAAGAGCTGAAATGATCCTATCCAAAAGCATGCAGGTTGTTGAACAACAAAGCAAAGTGGACAAAGATGAGAGTATAGGCATGAGTCAATCCTCCAGATTGTCCCTGGAGACAGAGAGTCAGGCACTAGCAGTGGTCAAGCAGATAGATGATGACCTGGCCTTGAGTAGTTTTATAAAGGAGTTTTATGAATCCACCATCACTAATAACCTGAATTCATGGAATCGGATGCACCATATGGTGGCGATTGTCCACATGTACATGAAAGAACGAAGCAAGAAGAATCCAGAGGCTGAAGCGAAAAAATTCTTGGAAGAGCAGGTCTACCTGTCTAGTTTCAGTCTGAGACAGAAATATCAGGATGCAGCTTTGAGTACAAAGAAACAAAACAAGATTCTTGAGTATCAGTTACAAATCATTCTCCGAATGGAAATGCTTTCATATTTGAAGCTGTCAGAAGATCATGCAACAAATGAAGATGAAGAGCAGGAAGATAATGAAGAAAGCATTGTTGATAGTTTTGTGGACGAGATTGTCACCATGCTTCGTACATTGTCATTCATCACAGATGCTGCAATTGTCCCTGTGTTCCTTAATGATGTCTTGTTGAAAAACTATACTGATACTCTCATGCGTCCACTTGCTGAAATTTACAATGAACTCTTGCAACCATTGCCCAGTGTCCTTGCTGCTTCAGCCGATTCTCCTGAGAGCAGCATACCTTCATCATTCTGTCCGTCAACAGTGGGTACCTGCATTTTGGATGAAACAACTCGGGATGGATTTCCAGAAAATGGTACAACGCAAGCTAAAAGAGCCAAAACTATACAAGTTGTTCCTGGTCTTGGAGAGGGTGTGAAACGCCAGATTGTAGTTGGAAAGAAACCAGCAGCTACTGCAAAACAAAATAATCCTACCAAAAATGCCAAAAACAAGAAAACAGAAGAAAATGACTCCAAAGAAAAAGTCAGGGCACGGAGAAGTTTATTCATGTCTGAGAAAAGAAACTTGGAACGTCATCGATCATTTGCTCTGCATGATAAGGACAAGACTCGATCACATCAGAAACAACGACACAGCCATCGTTTCAGTAGCAAACATTCCATGGCCAAGAGTTCTTCGGCTCAGAAACGCTCCAAGACGATGGTAGCTGAGACACCTGCTCATAAGCAAATATCTCAGGTGATGAGGAGGTGGCATCTGCTTCAAAGTCGACTAACAGAACCAATGCAAAACACTCAACCTGTCTGTGCAGAGATTAACACAACACCAAAAAGGGCCAAGCCTGATATGACGGTATCTATCATAGAAGAATCTCCTTTAAAAGAAGGGATTTCCATTCCAAGTAAGATGTTTATACTTCCAAACTAAATATTTCTTTGCAAAGCAATTAGAAATTGAGGCATCATAGAAAAGATTTATTAATCAATTCTTATTATTAGTTGTTATCATCTGCCTCCTTAATTCCTGTTCTTTTATTGTTCTTTCTCCTTAATGATGTTTTCTTTTTCTCATATTCTTGCAACACTCAATAACTCCTTGTAGCTTCGTGGTTTTATTGCCTTGCTTAGACGTGAAATGATTAATAAAAAAAAGAAATTAAACCAATGTCAAAAGTTTTGTGATTACATATCTTGTGATATGACAAATACCAAACACCTATATAAAAAGTAAGCAGATGCCAAAATTTCCTTAGTATATTTTCCATGTGTATAGTCAAATTGAATGATATTCCTCCACTTCTCATCCTTAGTGCCATTAGATTCCTCTGTGTAGAAAAGGGCCATAGCTTCAGCATACTAGGTATTGCTACTGTGGTTTCTGTGTTGTTATGTAGATTTTTACAGGGTTTAGTTGCCAGCCCTACACCCAACAGTTTTTGAATTCAAAGTTGTTGTTCTCCTTGACTGGGTGCCAACCAAGACTAGAGGACCATGTCTGTCCTGCTATTTAATCCATAGCTGAGAGAAAAAGAGACTGATTCATACCTTTCCCAAGAGTGTTTGTGTGAATATGAACTTGAACGGAATTAGAACTCAGCATGCTAATAACTGCTACAATGTAAAAAGTTATTTCTTGAATATTAATCTATGTTCTGCTCAAAACCATATTCCAAATATTCAGAAGTGTGTGAAGGTTAATCTTGGTTCCTCAGATTAAAGACTTAGGTACAAGTCCACCCTTGATGTTGGTACAAGTCCACCCTTGATGTGAAATGAATGAAAAGGTTATGAAAATAACACTAAAGCTTATGAACCATGACATTTTCGGCACTCTGTATGTTATGGATTGTCAGTGGTCAAGAATCACTTACAAATAGATTAAGGCTACCCACATCTGTTGAAGAGTTGTCAAATAAGCTTCATTCGGATATGTGACACATCTGCACAGGTTCAAGAATCAGCTTTGTCTTTATTGATTCATAAAAGGCAATCAAGAGGCAAGATACTCTACTTGGTGGTGAGGAACGGAATCTGAGAAGCCATTTCCATTTTGTATTACAATCTTATAGAGTTAGGCAATGTACATGTGCTGATAGTCTTTGACATCTAAGTTAGCCTACCAGATACCTGAGCACCACATAAGATCCAAGAGTTAGCAGGGAAAAGACATACTATCAAGTCTCGCTATTTTTATAATAATCATCTATATAATACTAAAATTCTTGAATGTATGTATGTGTGTTCCCAACCAATTTAGGAGCATATTGTACCGTGAACCACTGTCAAGTGCAGTGCCAGATTTCATTAAAATTAGACACGGGGGTTCTTGAGCTAGGGCTGTTTTTGTTTCCACAGAATTTTTCATAAGAAATTCAGTATTTGTTTTCGATACCCATTTTTATATCAATCCATGTATATAAAACGCTCGCATATTCCAACTATTATGTTTGTGAAAAATAATAAACATTCATAATACATTGTAATAACATTATTAAATAAATTTGAATATACATAACGCAACATATATTTATAACAATCCACTACACTAAATTAGAAAAAAAAGTTTGTTTTTTTTCTTTTTTTTTAAACAAATGTCTCGAATGTTTGGCAAATATTTAATAGATGAAGACGCTATGTAGGTGTGTCTTTGTAAAACGTAATCTGTATGACTGAAAAAATGTCGCATAACTTGATCATAAATAAATAGATACACACTGGTTTGCTGCCATTACATGTTTTGAAATAAATGCAAGGAAGAAACATATAATAAAAAATATAATTATTATCAATTTATTGCTTTTGATCTAATTAATGAGAGTAATAATTACAATAACTTGTATTGCAAATACAAATTAAAATTTGTGTAATTAATAATAAAATTGATAATATTGTTACCTCATCATATTGTATCATGAACTGGTTTTAAAAGGAACCAAACGGGTTTATGGGTGGTCTAGTTGTTTGTAAATATTGTGTAACAGCACAAAATATCAAAATTAGGTATTTTATGATCTGTATAAAAATCTTGTCCTCAGTAGAAAAATATCCTTTGAGAGTAATATTAATTTCAGATTCAATATCTCTAAGGCTAATTTAAGCCCAGTTTTATTATTTAATGTGGTTGCAAGAAAAGATACATTTGCTGCCAATTTAGTCTTCTGATTTGTATGAATGAAACAATAAGAATATTTTCACAATCATTTTCACTAACTTTTAAGAATTCTTATTAAAATCTATATTGATTTCTATTACCTACCAACAAAATATTGAATTTCTGTCAGCAATTTTGCAAACCAGCGCTTTAATCCAGTAGGCTGTTTTCTTGAAGTGATAAAACTTTGAAAATAAATATATTTTTGTTTTCCCAATGGCAATAATTGAGCAGTACTAAATAAGAACTAGACAAGATATCCCTGAACATGGTCAGTAGAATGAGAACAATCTACCCCTTAGATTAAATAATGGTTTCATTAGACCTGGATCGACAAGTACCTGAAGAAGGCCAGAGGGCACATCAGCCAAAACACAACAATATCCTGCATGTAAATAATCTTTTATAATTCTACTCTACCAATGAAAGGTTATGTCAGCTCAAAAATGACACCAAATGATAACTTTCCCAGACTCCATTCTACAGCTGTCAAAACAGAACATTTTTTCTATTCATATTTGAGTGATTTGTTGCTGTTATTTAATTGGTGTCTACCACCCAACCTTCCACTCACACTAAGTGTATGAAAGTTTGAGAAAAAGAAAACTTCCTTTCACAAGTTAACCTTGTTATTCCACCTAAATGAGGCTTACAGTCACATCATTTTGAAATACCACTTCCCTTACAATCGCCAAAATTAAGCAACACAAACCTGGTCAGTGCCTAGATGGGTGACTGCTTGGGAATACCAAGTGCTGTAAGCTTGGATATGCAGGTGATGTAATGGATGATAGTTTGCAATTGTTAATCGAAGAGCCAAGTTCCAATTCCATTGGGATTCATTATATTTACTTACATGCAAATACTCTTGCGAAAGGTATGAATCCACCTCTTTTAAGCTATGGGCTAATTAGTAAGACTTATCTCACTAAATTATTATAATCTCAAAAAAGAAATTTCTTACAATCTAAATATATATTTTGGATTTAAATATTTTGCAAAGATTTGATAAGCCATAGTAAACAAATCAATCAAACACCAAAATGAAAAAGATCATTATTTAAAAAAAAATTTTTCATAAAAAAAAAAACATTATTTAATAATAAAAAAGTAGTGTTGAGAAATCCAAAAAGGTGAAAAAGAATTCTTGTCCTTTGGGAAATGAGAGGATGATGTCTGAAACCCGAGACTAATGGTTTTCTCTATATATGAGAAATTAATAAACTCTAATTACCCTATATGTTCGTAATAAGCTGACTTCATGTATAAGTGTGTTTCTTGAATTTTTTCTATGAATTTTAACCCCCCCCCCTACAGAAAATTTTACTTGTGTATAATCCAACTAGTTTATAAAAATGCATGATTTTTGAACTCTTCAAAAAAATTACCTGTGTATAGTGCAACCTCCTACTTTTTTCATTAAAAAAAAACTGATCATAAAAACTTCACTATACTCAAGTATATAACAGTAAGAAAAGAAAAACCTAAAAATTAGTTCTGATGGAAATTAGAAGAAACATGCAATGGCTAAATATTTGGTTCATTTCTATTCTTTAATATCATGAAAAATTAAATATTCTAGTGAAAATATGTGTACAACATTGAGATTTTAATGGATAATATGATACAACTCTTCAAAATAAATTTATATAGGGATGTCTGTATTATGTAGTTGTATTATATTCAAGGATGCAATTTATTCCGTTTTTAGCTTCAGAAACACGGTCATATTATACACAAGAAAGTACAGCCTCTCCACACACACACACACACACACCTAGTAGAATTAATTTTCAAATGTGTAGTTAGATCCTTGACTATTTGGGGGAATAGATTGCTTTCCTTTATGAAGAATAGTGAGTTATCCTCAGACATTTTTAATGCCCCCCTCCTCTCAAATTTGATCTCAGAATTCGATCTTATTTTTCTCTTTTTTTTTTTTTTTATATTAGAAAGTTTATAAAGTGTTGTTTTTATTCAGTAAAGTTTTGGGTTGTGGGCCTCATTTCATAATATCATTAGTCATTATGTCAATTCATATCAAACTCCTTTTACAAGAGAAAAATTCAACTCTTCCATTTATTTATGGTTATTTTACTTCATTCTATTCTCTTAGTTCTGCATTATTAATATTACTTCCCTTTTCACTGCATTCTTTTTCAATGCTCCTCAATTGCAGAATCCTTATTGTTAATTTTGCTCAAAGTTGTTTTCTGTTGCCATAGCAAGATATGACAACACAACTATAAAATTCATACACACTATTGTTCAGGGATCAGTCACCTTCAGTGACAGAATAAACTTTTTGTATAGCAAATGAAGTCACATAGAAAGTGATAAAAGTAAAGAATGTCAGTATTTCTTGATTGAAAACCCAGATAACTCATTTTCATTTTCATTTTCATTTTCTTTTATCAAAAATTCAATTATTTTAAATCTGTTGGTTTCATTCTGTCTTCATAGCAAACCTCACTAAATGTCTATATTCTCATTTTTATTTTAATTCATCAAATCATTCCTTTTTATCCTTCTATTATTTTTTTTTTTTTCTTTTACAGAATTATCTGAGAACTGCAAAAAAACAACAGTGTTAATCAGGCGTGCATTTTACGGTTCACAGAATGAGAAATCCCAATCCAGAAATCTTACCAAATATCTCGAGTTAGCTGACCGTATTGCCGGTCGCCACGATCGCTATGCCCAGCTAACTGACTTGTCCACTATATCTCAAATGAATCAAAATGTCCAGTCTCCTGTGGACAAACCCAGTAGTTTTGCCTTGTCCCAACTTATGGGTTCACCATCTACAAGCAGTCCCAAATCTTTTGATTCTACTGTATTGAAATACACTCCCAACCGAAAAAGTCCTTCTTTCCCCTTCAGCACAAGTCCCAAATTCACAAATAAAACATCAGAAAGGATTTCTGTGAAGCAGGCTCTTTTTCGGACTCCCGAGAAAAATGTTGCAAAATCTCAAACGTTGCCTTCATCTAATTTGTCTTCTCAGAGCCCCTGTTCTTCAACGAACCAGCTGTCAGTGAGAAATAAACTGGCTTTGTTAAACTCCCCACCAAACAGAAGCAAATGTATATTTAAAACTCCTACAAAGGAGCCTATTTGTATCTTTAAAAGTCCAGATAAAACACCTACCTCCAAGAAGCTTAATACGACACCTGTGAAGTCATACGCACAGATGTTGGTCAGGAAATCTGATAGGAAACGAAAATTGACTGACATCTCAAGTGATGAACCACAGTACTCAGATAGTGAAAGTAGAAATTTACACAGCAAAGCTCTTTTTAAATCTGAAGATCTTTGTTCTACTAATATTCTCATAGGCTCACATCAGCTGCCTTCAAAATCATCTCCAAATTCGGACAGTCTGGAAGCGACATCTGGTGACAACAGTATAAAGTTTTCCTCAAATAGCAAATTGAAAAAATTGACCTTTAATCAAGATAACAATAACAATTCCACAATAGATCAATCATCTATGGTTCCTCTACATTCAAGTCCATTGAAATTGTTGCCTTCTGCTTCTCTATCACAATGTTCAGGCAAGAAACGTCTTAAAACATTACAGGCATCATGGGAAAATAAAGTTTCTGTTGTTCATCAGGATAAATTTTCTTCTTTGGAGCCACCTAAAGATAAAAGCAAACCAAAAAGAAAGCAAAAACGCAAAAATCTAAGTGAGATCGTTTCTGAGGCTAGCTCTCCATTAAAAAGTAAAAGGCAACGAAGATCTTTAAGCTGTACACTGCACAAACACGAGGATGCAAAAGAAGACCAAGCAAATAAAATTTCTCGAAATCAACCTCCACGTGGGAAAAATCTCTATGCAAATCGGACGCGCAGGTCTACTGCTATTCAAAGAGATTAAACTGTTATTGGCAGGAAGCTAAAATTAATTTTACAAGGAAAGATTTTAATTTTTTTTTAACTATCAAATGAGATATTGAGTTCCGATCTAAAGAAAAATACTTTGGTTGCTACTTTTTTTTTTCTTATCTCAAAATGTAATTTAAACCACCATACTTATATTTTTTTGTTTTCTTTTTTGTCCATAAACACAAAAATGTTTATTTTTTTAAAATGTCTATAAAGCCAAACCTACAATCTTGGATTGTATTATTCATTGTTGTGTGAGATTAATGAATGCAATAAAATAATCTCCTATTTATCAGCATTACAATTAAGTGATTATTTCTTAGACATTTTTTGACATGAATCAAATGGCCACTTGAAATAAAACTTTTATTTTATATTTGACATGAAATGGCAAAATATTTTATGAAACTAATTATTGTAATTTATTACAGAATTATTTTTATTTTTTTAATTTGTTATTGTAATTTATTACAGGATAATTTTTTTTTCAAGGATTTGATAACCCCGCCACCTCTTAAAGAGAAATTAGAGCCTGTCAAATATATTTTTATCCACAATGAACTGAAACGAAGCATCAAAATTCAACTAATTTGATTGAAGTGATTATTTTTTTTCAACATTTTTTGTCTTTTCTGAAAACCTCTTTTCATCACAATCCATCACTCCATTTTACCTAAATTCTTTTTCTTTTGCAAATTTTAAAAACACTTTATTGCAATAGTAACATAAATGATAGAATTATATATGTCAGCACTTCTGCCTAGGATCAGAGTGTAATATCTGTTAGTGCTGTGAAAAGTGACACACACACACACACTCTTATACAAGACTCCCACAATAGAATCTGTATAATACTAAAACTAATTGTGTGTGTTTTCCCAAGATACAGCTTAAACAATACACAATAACCCAACCAATTTAGGGGCATATTGTATCTTGAACTCCTGCTGAATGCAGTGCCAAATTTCATTAAAACCAGACAAGGGGTTCTTGAGCTAGGGCCATTTTTCTATTTTTATAGCATTTTTAATGAGAAATTCAGTATTTGTTTTTGATACACATTCGCATATCAATCCACATATAATATTCAAACTATTATGTGTGTGAAAAATAAACATTCATAATACATTATAACAACATTATTAAATAAATTAAAATAAGCAAAACACTATATATATTTATGCAATTCATTACAGGACATTAGAACTTATTTTTTTTTTATAAACAACTACTTGAAAGATGAAGAGGCTATATGTTCATATGATTTGATGGTAAATAAATAGATGAACATTGATTTGCTGCTGTTAAACATTTTTAAATAAATGTGAGGAAGAAACCAGTATGTATAATAATAAAAATATAATTATTTTGAAGACCACACCTGTTTTAAGCTATTACTTCAAATTTTCATGCAATGTATTAACTATGAAGCCCCATTGAACAATAAACCTTTAAATACAAATTAAAATGTGTAATTGATAATATTGTTACCTCATTTTGTATCATGAATTGCTTTTTAAAGAAACCCAACGGGTATATGGGTGGTTTAGTCTAAAGATGTCCCTTCAAGAGACAAAACACAATTTTTTTTTTTTTTTTTTTTTTTTTTTTGTTATTGACTTGCTGATTATTTTCAGTCTTATGTAAGAGATTTGTGCATATTCATATTTCATAAATCTAGATTCAGGGTTGTTCTCATTTAACTGAAATGATAAACTGTAGGAAAAGTTATTTCTATCATTTGTAATTCATTTCTAAAATATGTTTTCTTGATCTACCAAAAAAAATAATTCTTTTTGACAGATTGTTTTTGTATGGAAAAAACAAACTTTAAATACTTTTTAGTGATAATTTATTTATTTCTTGTAATTAGACAACCATTTTTAATTCTAATGTTTTTAAAACATTCCCTAGCCTTTACTCCAATTAGATGTGTTTTTAGAGCACATAAACTTCCTCATTAAAACAAAAGGCAAGCAACCACGAGATTTTTTTTTTTTTTTTACTTCTCACCTCCTCCAAACTTTTAAGTAATACCTTACACACTTCTCTAGAGTTGGTGAAAGAAACTTATACTATACAAATGTGTGGCTTAGTCATTAACAGGGTACAGTAATTGTTCTTGCCTTAGTCTAAAATGACATATTCTGTGTTCAAATCCACTGTTTGGGAAATGTTTTAAAGATCTGAAACAATAAGAATGGAAAATAATCTTTGCTTCATCATTCTTATCACAGAATCATTCATTTCATGTCCAAACATGATACTTGTTAGAGTTATTATCCATGCAGCATAAAGAAATGTAAAAGAGTAACATAAAAAAAAAAAACACTTTATTTAATAATTGAGAATCCATCTGCCAATGTTCAAAAAGACCCCCATAATAAATGATACAAGACTATAACAAATACATATGATGAGACCTATGTTCATGTTGAGAGAATATTGGGCCTCAAACTCCCACCTGACCTCAAGTGGAACTCATGTATATACAATCCATCGCTAACAATGCAGGTAAAATGAGTAAGTACATGACTCCTCATAGCATCCTCTACCTTTATAAGAGCCAGATCAGGCTGAAAATGGTGTACAGTTGTCATATTTGGGCAGGAGCTGCCCAGTCGTCACTTTTCAGTCTTGATAGAGTTCAAAAACATCTCAAAGTCATTCCACCTTCCAACCTCTCTCTCTCTCAGAGGCAGGATGTGGTGAGCCTCTCACTGCTCTATTGCTACTTCCATGGGAAGTGCTCAAAATACATTCCTTAATTCTGCTAGGTCTAACCTTTGCGACAAGGACCTGCCATGCCACTTACTCTCCATATTCCATCAGTGAGAAGTAAGTTCCACTTAAACAACTTCTTCCCATGAACCACTACTCTGTGGAACAGACTCCCAAGAGCATGTTTCTACTGATTACTCCAATCTTAACCTTCAAGTCTAGAGTTATCTTCCCCTCCTATCTGTATAAACTATCCCTTAATGTAATCCTCTACCTCAAGTGGCCCCTGAGCCTTGTACAGGGTCAACCTTGATGAAAAAAAAAAAAAATCTATGGAAAAGGCATGAATCTACTTTTTCTTGAAATCTGCTTCATTGCCAGATATGTTGACAACAAATCTTCTCAATGGGGGATGCCATGATGGGCAAATGAATGAATGAATGGACAACTTACCACCTCATCAGTAGTTAAGTCAAAACTCTTATACCCATTATCAATCTTGACACACATTTCGTCATGTGTTGATTTCTATGTCCATTATTTCTTTTTCTTTCTTTCTCATTTATTTCTTCCAAGTTAAAAGCATTTTTAGTGGTAGACAAATAGACTCAATTGCAGTACATGTCTTAATATTTAAGCTTTGTATAGAACAACACAAAGTTTAATGCTGGGTAGAAAGAGGGTGTTGCATCAATCTTTCCATGGCACAGCTTCACTTTTCTGAAAACACTGAGCCAAAACAGATATCTTGTTAGATAAGCTGAATGTAAAACCACATCTTAAAATTATATTTAGAAACTAAAAAAAACACAATCACAAAGACGATTTGATACATAAAAGTTTTAATCAGAATGGATAAGCAATTGTTGATTTATTATCATGTGTCATATTTTGAAAAGAACCATGTCCATCAGATTAGCAAGATAGTTAACATTTTTTTAAATGTGTCTTTCTGCAACTCATTCAGACCATTGATCACAATTATTGTTTCAGCCAATTCTTCTATTTTACACAAATATAAAATTTGACATAGTGAAAGAAAATGGAGTGAAATCTCTTCCTTTCTCCCTCTGCTTTTTCTGGTAGTGTATCAACAAGAATTGAGCCAGGAGTTTGTTTGAACAACTCTTGAAAATTGAACAAATCCTCAACTGGGGCAAAAAAAAAAAAAAAAAGGAATATGTATTTATTATTATTATTATTTATATTTTTCTGTGATTGTAACCTGTCAGACGTTAATTATTGGAGAGGATGGAGTGTAGCAGCTTCTTTCTCTTCTAAGATAGTGATGAGGGGTGGCTATTATACACTTACCATGTCTTAAATAATGGATTGAAACAAATAGAAAATATGAAAAAAAAAAAAAAAAAAAAAAATTCTGGTCAGATTAAAGTCAAACTGCAGAGATAGTATCATATAAAAAAACTTATTAAAATATAAATTTGTCCATGTATTGTTTAAATGTCCCTATATACATAGATATGTAGATATCTAAAAGTGTTTTTGCCCTTACTTTTCATATTTCTATTTACAAAAATAGAACAATTTGATTTATTTAAAAAAAAAAAAATTAAAGTCTTTTCAAAATCACAAGCCAATGAGATATTTGCCTCCTTTAAATAGAGTTAACATTTTACAGATACACCACAAATTTATTGGCACCCATGATTCTAGAACAGTGTCAGATCATTGAATAATAAACTTCTCACCCTCTACTTCATATCTTTAAAGCTTTACAGTTTTTCAGATGAAAAATATCTTGTCAAGATATTCTAGAACACAATGTTTCT